TAAAAAATATTGGAAGAATTTTAGGCGGGTGGGTATTGAACCCACGGCCCTTAGGTTGCGAGCCAGACACGCTATCGACATGGGAACGAGCTATCGTAATACTTAGCTATCGTAATCCACTCGAAGCTTAGGAGTCCTGTAATTTTTTTTTTAACCTTTTTGAAAATAGCAAGTATGTGCGTGCATAGCTTCGATAGGGGCTGAAGATGTGCGAGAGCGGAGATTCCGAAAACTTTTTTTATGACTTAATGCTTTGGGATGGAGGTGCTTCGGCATACTTTGAAACTGATTTTCTGCACCCTCCATGCACCAAATAGAAAAAGATTCTCGATAATCGTGATCCTGGAGGCCAAGCAAAGATGATCGAAGTGTTTTTGCTCAGATATGGAAACACTTCAACTTCCTTTTAAAGGGAAAACTAGGCTCGGAGGTTGGCCGATCGTGATACTAAACTCTGTTTCGCCTAAAAAGAATATGGTAAATGAAAGCTATAGGCTTTTATGATATACTTGTTAGTGCATTTCTGCACAAACAAGTAGGGTATAGTTTGTGCATTTAATTGCAGTAATTTCCCTAATTTGTCATTTTACCTAATTTTAACATTACAAAGGCGAAACATTTTTTTTTTTCCTCTGACATTTTAATTTTGTACGAACTCCTTCACACCCTTTATGAACCATGAGCAAAACTTGCTTTGTGCTCGTGGTGAGAATGAATAACCGAGTACTCGTAAAGAATAAAAATTGCGAACGATTACATAAAGTGTTGCAATTGACAGCGGTAGCTGCTGCGTTCTGGAAAGTCGTGTTGAAGGAGATTTGCCCTCAACCAGTGTGCTGTACAATGTTTGCAATGGGTTCTTTGCTTTCAGTGGAATGGACCTTTTCCACATACCGACGGCACCAGGCGGTGGCTGCACGAACTAAAAATCGAGGAAGTGACCTACCTGCGCTACCAATCGATAATGGGAGCTACGCTACCAGTTTCTTCGCTCTCTGAGCAGCGGCGCCTGCCCAACGCGACTTTAAAGGGATTGTCCGGTCAAAACCGGAAGTACTTAAGTTCTTGCGCTCGTTACGTCGAGGGAGCCTTCATATAGACAAACGTCATTTTTATTTTGATATATGATCTCCAGTTATTAATTAAACCTTTCATGATCCTATGTACGAAACTGTACCCCGAATTTCGCCAGTGTCAATGGCTGACATCCGTAGATGCTGCGTGACGTCACAAAACGCAAAGGTTTGTCGGATGGTCGGGATAACAAGCGTTGATCGATGGATGTCTTATATTTTGTTTCGAATTATATAGTCTCCTAGGAAGTACCCTACTGAAATACGGTTCTTTTAATGCAGTTCCCAAGCACGTGCAGAAGGAGTCACGCCTTTTAGCAGGATGTTACTCGCAGAGAGCCATAAGCTTCGAGCAAACGTATGCCGTTTCGCGCAAACACAACTGCGACAGACACCGATCGGACTAGGGGCGCTTGCAAAGCAAAGGATGCAGATTTCGCCTCTGAAGCGGCACTTAGGTACACGAAGCGGCATCTGGGTACACATTTCGGCGGATCCACTGGATCGGTGATGAGGCTGCGGGTCATTCCCTCAGAGGCGACGTCCGCGGGTCGAAGGCAAACGGCGAACCGTTCAAATGCATGTCGGACTCGTCACTTGACTTGGACGAGCTTGGTGAATCGTAGCTACGCTCCATTTTCACACGCGGGTCAAACAGATATCGGGCTGCACGTGTGCTAAATACAACTTCTGGTATCACTTCGAGATGGCCAAGCTGTTGGTTTCGGTTTCGCTGCATAATCAAGGTCTGTTCGATTTGGCCAGGAAGTTCTGAACCATAGTCGGTTACAAGTCAAGGAGGTAGCGGCAAATGCCCCCCAAAGGGAATCTTTGCATTTCGACGATAGGTTCGCGGCATCAGGATGATTTTGCATAGGGAGTCACTGGCGGCAGCGCGCGGTCGGTATACCGGTCACCTCGAAGACGAAGGCCTGACGATAGCGTACGTCTTGGCCAAGACAATTATCGACCGTAACTTTGGCGTCAAGTTGAAGCGAGAATCAGCAAAAAAATGCCGATTCTCGGTGTTTTTCTCAGGCCCGTTAGTGGGCGTCCATAGATACCAGCGGACAAAGCACGCAGTATTATGCCCAGCTACGGGGACATGCGAGTGCCAACGCACTAAATCCCAGACCTCTGCAATGTATCGGAGTCGTCAATATGCATCCAAGAGCAACTGAAGGCGGAGACTATCAAGAGGGCAATACCTTTCCCGTGTCTGTAAGTAAGAATATCAACACTGTGAATCCCCACATAGCATCAAAAAGAAACAATTTACGTGATCCAATATTTCAACACTCAAGAGCCAAACCTAAGCGAGCAGGCGCCTAAAACGCTTTTAGATTATCATAATCAAGCAAATTTCTACCCTTGGTTAGGATCTCAATTCCGCGTCCACCGCGGGTACGTTATTATCATAAATGAGAGGAAATGCAACCTCCGTATCGGCGTTAAAACATCGCACATTTGAGCAAGCGCTGCGAAAAATGGCACCGCGAGCAGGGACGGACGAGGAGTTCTGCTATTGCCGTCTGCTCTTGTCGTCTGCTTCTGCACGGACGCTGAACCGAGTCCGGAGCCGGTGCAAGATTTTGAGTACCAGACCTGGGATGAATCGAAAGCACTAGTGCATTGGCCGTGCAACTTACGGTTGAATCGAATGCACCAGTTCCTGCACTGCTAAACTAGTTCAGCCAGTTCAGGCGAATCGAACAGACCTAAATTGACTGATCCGATTTGGGCGAGGAGTGGGTGGACGTAGTTTAATATCGTTGGCACAGCATCACACCTCAGCTTACAAGCCTTCTGTCCGCTGAGAGCTCAGCTCGTAGCTTTCTTCTGTGAGATGATTGCTGCATAAGCAGGATCTCGATCTGGACGGGAACCCAGTCCTTACGCACGGCAACGGTCCACTTTGCTCGTCCCTCACATCTCGCGGAAAAGTGTGGAACGTCGTGTTTTGACTCGCATGTGCTGCCCGGTGGTTTTGGCACCCAACCGCGCAACAAAAATCTCACCCAACCACGAAACAAGTCGAGCACAACAACAAAAACGAAGCACGCTGAAGCGTTCACTCGCGGGCAAACAACGAGACAAAAATGCTCGCTTTGTGTTTTGTGACGTCAGAGCTTCAATGTTGGCAACGAAAGCAACGTTTACGCTAGAATGCTATATGAGCACTATAAATTCAATTACTCACGCAGAGGGGCATATAAAATTCGGATATTGCACGTACAATGCTTCTCGAGGCAATAACAATGATATTCAATTGTTTTCTCGAATACAAAATTTGACCGGACAATCCCTTTAAAAGGGCGGTGCAACAATTTACGGACTTTGGCTAATTAATTGCGGGAATTGATCCCGGCCACATATAAGACGAAGGACCGAAAACTATTCTTTCCTGCTTGCCCTAGTTTCCATTAAAAAAAATAAAAGAAATTGGTATCTCTGGCACCCCTCAACTCAACATTGAAGCGGCACCAGCTTCGCCTCTGACGTCATTCGGAGTGGCGTTGGTTTCCGGTTGGGTGCTTATAGCTTCCGTTTCCCCAGCGCTCGCCGGCTCTCCAGGCCGCCAGGCTCGCCGCTCTCCCGCTCTCCCGTCGATTCCCGACCAACATGGCGGCATGGGCGGACGGCGTGAGCGACGAGCGTTTCGCCGCAGTAAGGTTGCAACGCCTATTGGCTGAGAGAAAAAGCAAAAACAAGCAAAACAACACAAACCGGAAGTGACGAAAGTTTTTGTTTTGTTCGTTTTTGCTTGTTTCAATTTTATTTTTTGTTTTTACTTTTTGTTTTTCCAAGTGTTTGTTGGGTGCTTTTTGGAGCGGTCGCGTCGGTTCCAGCGGTCTTTCTTGTATTATACGTTGTCGTGTTATGTGCCGCCGTATTGCCGAGTGGAGCTGGTCGTGATATTCAATGCTTGGGAACGAGCGTCGGCAGTGAAGTTCACAGCGCATTTATGCAAGCTAGCAGGCCCCGTCTCGCTACATGGAGGCCCGTGGGACGCTTGTTCGGAACGTAAAATGTGAGTGGAATTTACCTACTCTGGTGGCGTTCGATCGTCGATGCGACACCGCAGTGGTGGAATTTGATAGCGCTTGGCTACCTCACGTAGCGTCGGGGACAAAGAAGATAGTAGAGATAATCAACGGGAGTGGCATGTGGCTCCCGGGTGCCGCCTGCGCCGCATTTGCATTGAGTAATCGCACTTAAAGAAGGACCAAGCGCGTTGGGAATGTCAGCTTTTGACGAACTCGTGCAGTCACAAAAGCGTTCTGTCGAAAGACGGGATTTACAAACAGATCAGGCTTCGCGAATTTCCCTCCCGGCGCGTCGAATTTGTGGCGGGTAATAATGTTACTGTTCATCCTGGTAGGCCTGCGATGGTGTTTCCTCGTGGTACATTCACACCTGCAGCAGAACTGCTAAGCGATTCTGCTACAGGTTAATCGTGAAGAGTTGTGCTCTTCCATAATGTGCATGTTAAAGTACAACAAATAAGTGCCTCTCTGTTCTACTTCTTTTTTGGTATTCAACTGGTTGTATTTTCTACTACATTTTGTTCAGAAAGCCACTGCGAGACAGGCATTATTGATGTATACTATCCAAAATAATGCTTGAGCATGAGACGAGGTAACAGAAATACTTCTATATGTGCCTGCTTTTTGTGTTTTTGCAAGACAAGTTTTTGTGTGCTTCCTTTAATGTTTTTGCAATTCACTGGCTAGACCACTCTTCTCATGGTTATTGTTTTGTTGGGTGCAAAATTTTCCACCCCAGGTGTCTGATGCTTGCAGCTGATGGCTTCTACCTACGTGCATCAAACAGCGGGCCTGCACCTTCGCCGAGAAAGCATTAAAACAGTTCTGGGTAACTGCAGCTACTGGGTCACCGATGCCGTTCCACTTCCTGCACTGCACTCCGCGTGGGTCAAAGGGCCAGCGCATGCCTTTTATGGGTTGTCGCCAGCCATAGTGAGTATGGCTTGGAGTCACGTCATGCGAGTGAAATGCTTGTCACCTGAGTGGGGGGGGGGGGGGGGGGGGGGGTTGCCGCCGCCGCCTTTGGTGGTGGTCTGCGATCACAGACCACCAAGCACCATTGCACTGTTCCTGTATGAACTAGCCACTCTTGAGGAAGAACAGGGTGCTTTGGGAAGAGCTATGGTGTCCGCTTTTTCACTAGCTCCAGCTGTCGCCACAGACATTTTGTCGAAAGGAGCAACATCCATGAATGAGTAGACGGCGCTGAATGGCCGCAAGGGGCCTCGCTTCTGATCGAGGGGGTCAAGATAGTCCCGTTTCAACAGAGGTACCTCTTGGGGTATTGTACAACACAGGAAATAAAGGGCCCTAAAGTTTTCTACCTCGACGAGGTGTGGGTTATGGCAGGACCAATTTTCTCAAAGGTGCGAGTTGACACAAATGCGGCTTTGTTCCGTGGACACCTTCATGTTTGGTGGCACGAGGCAGTCATTGCTTAACCCTGCTTAAAGATCAACGACTGGACTGGTCAAGGGTGGCATGCCTGAGTGGGACAGTAGAAGGCTGTTATATACCAACTTTAGACTTCATTCACCCCTTAACTGACAGGGCACTGGAGGCTACATGCTCGGTGAACCAGCCGATTGTCAGTCTTGCATCACTTATCATGCCCCTTTCTCATACCGATGTGCAGGTCGGACATGAGGCAATAAAAGCTTGGCCCACCAACCACATGGCTCCTACCGCCCTGTCAGCGTAGAGGTGAATGGAGCGTAGGGGCGGCAGAGTTGGTGGGGTCTGCCGAGTGCTTCTGGCGTAGCAGTTCGGCAGTGGTGGGTTACTAGAGCACAAAATGCAATACCGCACTTTACTCTGAATGCTGCGAGCCATCGGAGCCAATCCAGTGCCGAAGGTGTGTCACGTGGCCTGTCCGTTGGGCGCAACGGCACGTCGAGCACAGTGTCATCTGGCAGCGACAAAGAGTTGGTTTGGCTCCGGTGGCTCGTTAGTCGGCTGCGGTACAACACAAGGTGAAACGGAGTAGAATGTGATGGCGTGTTGCATCACAGAAGGTGAGCAAAGTAAACAGATAAAGGTTTGATTTTTAGAGTGCCTATTTTAGCTTTTTGTTGCCTTCTTTCGGTGTCCTTAAAGGGGCCCTTCGGAGCTTTCTGCGATCGTCTGTTTATGTTGTTATATTGCGTAGTAGGTGCAAGTTAATATGTATCCAAAGTTTTAGATTACAAAACCGTTTATTAAGCAGATTGCAGAAGAAATATATCGGGACTATTTTCTCATGGAAGACAATCCCCCATTCCCTGCCCATCGCTAAAACTTGACCAATGGAAATGCTGCATCTCGGGGTGAATGCGAACGTTATTATTGCAACACTTTTTAAGCTTGTTTTAAATTAGAGTTTGAGAAAAACGTAACATGATTTTGGTGCAGGAAACATAGTCCGCAATTATCGCTCCAAAACCAGCGAACTATGTTTTCTCCCCGCAAGCTTCTTGCTAGGGGGTGATGCGTCGGCTGTCTGCTTCCCGGGGCGTCTGCAGGCGTGCGTTTGCGGGACACGTGTTCCTTCTTCCCATGGATCCTGACTCCGAAGCCAGCTTTGCGATCCTTCCACGTCAACGAGTCAAACTTTTCCTTGTCATCTGTGCAATGCGACTGCGTATTGCAGCAGCAGCGCGACGGTGCGGTGCGACGAACGACGACTGCCGAGCACTAAGTCCGGGCTCCTTGACGACGACGGTCCGCACGTGTTCGAGAGATTCCTTTGCGGATCGGCGGTCGGCCGCGTTGGTGACGCGCAGAGACGCCAGAATCCTTCACTTGCTATTGGCTGACGCATAAAGAGATGCCCCTCCCATTTTCCGGGGTCATCTCACAAGGGGGGGCCTGCCGGGGACTTTGATAGCAACTTTAATAGGGAAATCCGCCACGCATGACCGTAATTTTATGATTTTTAGGATCCTGAGAGCCTGTAGATTGAGTTACCGCCATAAATAGACCATCGCAGAACGCTCCGGGGGGCCCCTTTAAGAGCCCAAAGACCTGTAGTCCCTATATTTCCGGACTTGAGTGACTGCACGACCGAGCACCAAATCAAACTGTTCCAAATCCTGAATATAGGTCTACACCCTTTTCAGCAAAAAGTTTGAGGGGAATAAACCTATTGGTGCAGGTCCGTGACCCTGGCAAGCACTCTCGCTCATGCAGCTGAATCACATTCAAAATGAGGAAGTTTCACCCTTTTCTCAACGACGGGCTGTTTTTGGCACAGTTGTTGTTTGACTGGCTGCTAACACAGAAGCACAGTTTTTCAGCTTGGCAAACACCATGGCAGAGACTCAATGCTGGACATGGAATTTCATTCCAACTCTAGTAGCACTACAAGCAGCAAAGGTAGCCCTAGGATTACACTTGCAAAAGTTCTCCAACAGAATGTGTCCAGGACGTTGGTGCTTGATGGGCATCCAAGCGTTCGGGGGCACGAGTCACTATGCCGTCACTTGACGAGGAGTCAAACAAGCTCTTGTTGATCGCACCACGATTCTGATCAAAGCAAGTTGCACTGCCTCTCCACAGTCCTGCACTTTTTAAAAATTATGTCTGGATTCTAGAGGGTAATAGCTTGGATTTGTAACAAGTGTCGCAGAGCTTTCTGGACAAGCGGCGATAATCAAGACTGAAATGTGCCGTACAGCTAGCTAGCTTCGAGAGTGTTGCACATCGCAGTGTCAAACGAAACGGCAATATCAGTCAACAAGACCGAGTACCGCTTTACGACGAGACTGAGCCCGCCACCAAGTTCACACCCATCCAAAATAGCGTGAAGCTGGCAAACAATATTCTAACCCTAAAATTAACTTGGGCTGTTCGTACAGAAGGAGCACGCTTCAGAGAAAGCGTCGTGTGGGCATCCTTTTGTTCCGCAAGGCGTGCCTAGCCTTCAAATTTCTTGCGTTTGCTCTGATCAAGCTTTTGCGCAAACAGTTTTTTTCCAGTGTATCGTTCAACAAAAAGTTACAGCTGTTTTGTACTGAGCTTGTGACAGGAACTAATGCCATCTGTAAATATCTCTTACAGCCGAGCTGTTTGAAGTCATCACAGATATAAACTGCCTGTTGCAGCAACTCACAATCGCATTCCTGCCCGTCATGTCGAACAGCGGAGCGCTAATTTCAGTTTGAGGTCTGCACTCTTACTACAATGCAAATGGTGACAGCATCAGGCTGCACTCGGTAAGTTAGTTTGAGACCGGTTCTTCATGCGGCACTCCGCGAGTGCGGTGCACTCTGGGAGATGACTCGCATAATGCCAGTGCGTTTGAAACGAGCTTGCTATAAGGCCCGCTACTCATGGGATAAGTTACTCATATAGTTTTTGGGCAGCTGATGAGTTATTCCCCCCTCCACAGCGACACGCATTGCTGGGTTTGGGTACGACTTGAAACCGATGAGCAGCTCTGACAACTCTAAGGTGTTTGAAGCGGCAGGAGCAGTTCAGGGACACAATATTTCCACGTGACCTCCCTTGCAGTAGTGGTGATGGTGCGTCCAGTAGCGGCTCCCTCAGCTCCGAACGGAGTAACTCAGTTGGAGTTCTCGGTGCACCTACTGAACGTCAAAACAAGCGCAGCTCTTCAGCAGCTGAGCACGATTGCTTTATTTGATGGCTGTATTGAAGAAGTCTCAATAATTTTGTTAATGGAAAAGTGAGTGTCTGTTGTGGGAGCCACTGGTTTCCCTCCCCCAAGGGAACGTAAGCTGCGGACGTGCGGACGTTCCTTCTGGAGTCGTCTGTCTTTAAGCCTGCTCGTTCCGAATCGTGTCAGGGAGAGTATGCCACCCTGCTGGCCTACTCTCGCACTCCTCTGCACGTCTCCCATTTTCGGGGGACCTGCGAGATCGTGTGGGACGGTCTTCTGAATTGACTTTCGTCTGGCGATTAGTCCTGAAGTGTGCTACGGGCGACGGGTCAAGTGCGAAGAGATCCTATGAGTGCTGTGCAATTTAGAACACCTTTAAAAAATCCCAAAGAAAGCTGCTTTTTTTTTTTTGTGGATGTCATGTCGGATTTTTCACTAGCCACTGTTGTTAAACTTCCAGAACTCTATGTGCCAAGAAATTGAGAGAGAGGAGAGGATGAGGGTGCAGGAATGTCAAAACGCAGAGCTCCGATTGGAACGATTAGTGGGTAGACCTAAAGCTAACTGCCTTTGTCTGTACTGCACGTGCAGAACGTCGGTGTCCAGCGTTTCGCATTTGCATTCAAATGCGTTTGACGAGTGCAGTGGGGATAAAGGCAGCCTTTGTTTCTGCACTCGTTGAACACGTTCGACTGCAGAATGCGGGCGTCCAGTGTTTGGCTCTCGCATCCAAACGTCCTCGACGAGTGCAGTGGAGACGAAGGCAGCTAGCTTTAGGTGTACCCACCAATCCTTCTAACCAGAGCTCGGGTGTCCTGACGTCCCTGCGTGCTCTCTTCCACTCTTCTCCCTCATTTTCTTGGCACATGCATCATGGGCAGATTTTAAGGGTGGGGGGACTAGGGCCCCCAGGGTTAACTTTTTTCAGTGAAAAATCTACATATGCCAGCTTTTGTTAGGAAGAAATGATTAGTGGCTTCCATCCATACTCGAGAACCGAATTAAACGCAATAGACTACTTCCATAAATTCCTGCATGCAACACGGCACGGATTGCACTCTGGGACCTAGTTAGCCAGGGAGGAGAGTGGCATGGTTTCGGTTTCGATCGACACATCGACAAGAGATTATACACGGAGTGTGGACTATAAACGGCCGTTATTTCATATTTTCTGGTCCCGAGAATGCCATTTGTGGTCTTTAAACTAACCTAAATGGCCAGACCTCGAAGCTTTAGCACAAGCCTGAGATGTATAAATGCTTGTTGTATTTTTGTACTTGAGCCTTTTTGTTAGCGTTTCGAGGTATGTGGACGAGCCAGTGCTGGGAATCTTGACGCTGCGAAGCTGGGGGATCTTGCTTGTGTACAAATCAACAAGCTGTAGCAACCAATAAGTATGCATACATCGAGCTCGCGCCTTTACATTAGTGTTGTAGATCAGGAAGTTTTTTTGTTTTTTTTTTGTTGTTGTTTTTCGTGCATCCATAGACGAAATATAACTTTTTGCAATTACTGTTTTTCTTAATACGCCTGAGTATGCGAAGTAAAACGCGGACGCGCCATTGAAAAGCTCCCTTCGAACACACTTCTCATCTCTTATCTGTACTGCCCCGCAGCACTGCACGAAGTGAAGTCACCCGCCCGCTCCCCTTCCACTAGTATTCAACATCACGTATGCTAATAAAGTTATCCTGTAATAATATAGGTACATTCGCACATACAAAAAAAGAAAGCAGAAGTCGAGCACTTGTGTGAACAATGTTGCACCGTTCACCGGAAGTGCACTGGACGGGCATGAATTCTGCGGTGCGCCGAACGAACAAAATTATTCAATGCGCATTTGACAGTTGCTAAAAGCCATAATATTTGTTATGTGTTTGCTTTCTTCCTGACTGAGTATGCCAAGATAATTTCAGACACACCGTTCAGGCACAGATCTTGGGCGTTAGTAAAAGCTCGTCCAAGAAGGCTTAGTGAGGAGTAGGGGACGCTTGTTAGGGCCCCCGTCATAGCTAGCCGATCTTAGCGTTTGCGAAAATTTAATCTTCTATCAGCTTAAAATTTGAGTGTGAGATATGTGATGACACGAGGAAGACATAGTACCTTTTATGTAGTAGTGAGGTTGAATTTAATGTGTTTCCTTAAAAGTTAATGCGCCAACGGTGGGCTCAACTTTGATACTCCTGTGAGGATGTGGCTTGCTTTTCGCCCAATGAAGTAACAAGAAGCGTACGTTTGGCAAACAAAATATGTGTAGGGCTCAAGGTGACCAAATTTCAGTTGTAGTTCAGTGGTACTGGACAAGATTACTGACACTGAGCTCAAAGATGCACTCGTGGGGTGACGTGACTAAGCCACGTCTTACTACATTTGCATATGCACGCATAATATCCGGTGTTTTTGGAACCAAGGAAAGTGCCCCGGTCTTCGTTTTGTATCGCTCGAGAATGAGTGTATTGTACATTCGTAAAAAAATTCAGATAATCAAAAACGCGAGCAGCGTATTCGGTCGCGGCGTGATAGCATGAGATGAAGCTGCTCAGTCGAAACCAAAACTAATTGGCCAACTAGTTCCCAGAGGGCACTGCGTGGTATTTCACCGCGATGGGGCACGTCGGTTTTGGAAGAAGTCTGTTGCAACGCCGCCATTTCTCCCACAGCAGCCACTAAGGAAACTCCACGGCTACACTTAGTGGTTCCGTCGAGTCGCAGAAGAGCCAGTGGCGCTAAAGTTCCTGTATAGGCTCCCTACGGGAGCCAGAGTTGCGTGTTCATCTCCATAGCGCCGTCTTTCCTGCACGGCATATGGAGCCTGCTCCTGATGTGACTGAATCCAGCGAATGGCAGCACGGTGCGCTCAAAAGTAGGGGAACGTATGCCAGGGTACGTGCAATGTGTACTTTCGTGCACGGCATTTGAGTCTGCTCCTCACATGATCACATCTCGGTGAGTAGCGGTGCGGCGGTACGTGGAAAACAGTCATGCAACTATGGCTCCTGTAAAGAGCCTATACAGGAACTCTACGTGGTGCCATCTCGCAGGGTCATTTTGCAGTAGCTAAATAAAACAACTTGCATGTTTTAATTCGTCGCAAAAGGGTGGCGCTGTTATCGTATTTAGTTTTGTCTCGGTGAACGCCAGCGGTCCAGGTTCCAAGAGTGAGTTTTCCAACTGAGCGTTTTAGTAACGTTGGTGTTTAGTGACATAACAAATATTAGGTTAACAAAACAGATCTGGGCAACATTTTGCCCATGATATCATCTCTCTTCCCCCGCAGGCTGACCCATAAATTTGCCCCTGCTCTGCATTGCCCTGCATGTTCGGGTCAGATAATGGTTCCTGTTGACCCGATGGACTCCTTTGTTCTCTGCATTCATCATAGGTTACAGTCGTGAATCATGAACCAAGACTGCACTCTTAGGCCCACTCCTTTTTGGTGGATCGGGTCTTGCCATCTTCACCTTTCGTGGCTTCCTGTCGTAATTAAATAAATTGTCATATTTTTTTCTGATGGTGGTGCATACCTCATGCCACACTTGACAAAAATAGTGTGGTGAATCCATGCCTCGGATTACTGTGAAACATGCGAGAAGGTAATTATTGAGAAGATTAAACTCCGAAATGTTTGATGGAAAGACGATAGATATACCCCGTTTAATATTTCTGGCCACTTTAAGCATGCTGTCCCCGAAGTATTTCAGCCTATCATTGCATCGGCTCTTGACCATTCACACTTGCAAGGAAAGGCTATCAGCAAGGGTTTCCAAGTAAGTTCCAGGCTTCCTTTCCTTTCAACACTTCTCTCTCTCTCTCAAGTCTGTGTTCTGTTTGCATTTAATTACTGAAACAAGGTTTATAGACATTACCAAGTGTATTTCGACAACTAAATGTTCAAACTTTAGGCTATTTTGTTGCCATGATTTTAGTTTCTGCTAAGATGAATATGTGTTCCTTACATTAATTAAAACAAGAAAACGAAAAAAAGTGATTACATTTGTCCTCGGAGTTTTTACAGAAGACCCATCGCTATCACCATCACTATTTTGATTTTTATTTAAGATGGCCGTTTTGTTTCGTGAACGTTCTGTGACTTCGGCGATTTACGCGACTTACGAACAGCACTGCCTAATTGGTACGTTAATTTTGGTGGCTATTTATCGTGTAATATCGTGGGTATCTTGTGTTTGTACAGAAAGTAGTATTTCAGGTTCAGATTGTTCCTACAGCGTTAGGTCGAGCTCGGTGGGTCGTCTCCTCTGAACTGCTTGCCTTTTGTCTACGTTTCTTTCCTTCTCAAACCCATCACACTTTCTGGTTAATTTTCATGTTTTCACTACCTGCTATTTTGCTAGCAAATATCCAGAAACGTAGGTTCCATGCAGCTCTACCTGCACTATTCTTTTTATGTTGCGCAATTGCAAGGACCGCTTCTGTTTTGCCGAAGCAAGACGGTAATAGTGCTGGTGCGAAACTGAATAGTACCCTTTGTTAAATATTTATTTATTTGCTTGTCTGCTCGGCAGTGCCGCCTGTACCTGGACAATACCTTGGAAGATAATGCAAATACGGAGACAAAGCTGTACAGTGGTTATACTCGGCATCTGCACTCTGAATAACGTGATGTCTCGGTAACCACGCACGCTTTGTTAGAGAAATTTGTTTCGCTACCTGCTAGGCATCACTGAGGTGCTTTAGCTGTGTGCCTTTATTTTATGCTAATAGAATGTACTGCACCTAGAACAAGCAGTTGTAGAGGAGCGCCGTTTAGTGAATCCATTCGATCGTCGTAAGCAAATCTGAAAGACGCTAAAGGCTACCGCACGATTCAGTGAGGCTTGTTGACCTATGCTTTGAGCACCCACTCTTCTTTGTTAGGCCCTAAACCAGGCACAACGTAAAATTATTATTGTGAAAACAGCAGGGTTGTGACTTGCACGAAAACTTGTCTATCATACTCTGAACATGCTGGCCGCCCAAGCGACCGACTTGCTGACTGACCGGCTCGGCTTTGTCATTGGCGAAGGCGGAACAAGCAAATGCTAGAGCATGCAGCCAAGTTCAGTGGATTGCGTATTTCTAAAAACAAATTTTCTAAAAGGTTGTTTGTCACCATTTTCTCTTAAAGGTCAACTCCGGCCAAAACTCAAAATGAAATAAATTACTGTTATCGCTGTAGTGACACAAAATACGACCCCAGCCAAAATATTACGTCCGTGGGACGCCGCATTCTCAACTAATGCTGATGATAAATATGCGACCCACCGCGAGCCGCTGCTCCTTAGCGGGCGGCCGATCGCTAAAGCAACATTGGGCCGTGACGTCAGTATCATTCTTTTTTTTTCTCCGGTCCAGGCGTTGCGCGGAGTGCGCTTCTCTGAGCTGCTACCACCGCTACTTTGGCTTGTGATTGGCGTGTTTAGCCGTTGCTTTTATCTGTAGCCCATGTAGCTTCGGTATAGCCTTTTGTTTATTTGCTTGCGAGGACTCCAAGACTCGTTTTAGCGAGCAACTCGGTGCGCCCAAGACTGCCCAGCAGTTCCTCGAAAGATGCCGAATGAAATTTGTAGCGCTGTGGGATGCTCAAACAACCCGCTGCGCAGCACGGAGGTGCTTTTTCACAAGTTTCCAACGGACCGGAAATTGGAGAAGGTGTGGGTGAACGCTGTTCAGCAAATGGACTTTGGACTCCGGCTTTTACGCGCCCGAGGAAACAAAAAAGAAAATACAGACGCGCACAGCCCAGCACATATGTGTTCGGGCTTTGAGGCTTCGTGTCTCAAACTGACCCGCCGCGCGAAAGCGAGAGGACCTCCAGTACTGTACGTCACCGGCAGCGCAGCGTAGACCAACGCCGCTCCATCCACGGAGCCCCGATGACAATTCAGGCCTAGCGACGAGTATGGAAGACTGCACACACGGAAAAAGCCGCAGAGTACGGCACCGAACGAGTTCACTCGTTTTGCAGTCGCTAGCTTTTGGGTATACAAGCAACGGGTACGGCATAGCGCACGCACGGCGACGGCCGCCGAGTACGGCACCGTACGAGTTCACGGGTTTTCCAGTCGCTAGCTTTTGGGTATACGCACTAACTCTTGCTACATATGCTGGATAACTACCACGTACACCGAATTAAAACAAAATCGGCTTACTTCCTATCTTTAGACGACTAGCGCAACAGAAGTAGGTGCCGCTCGGCCTGTGTACTCGTTGAACGAGAACGATCCTGACGTCACGTTCACATAGCGGCTGATTTCCAGTGTTGCCGGGGCCTCTAGCGGCTAGTTTCGGTTTTGTTGGCCGCGCCCCAAACAAAACTTTAAGGCGTCGATATCTTTAAAACTACGCACAATAACGAGAAAAAGTGACACCTTGCAATTCAGGGACGCTGACTGCACTAAAAACAGTCATAATCCCAAACTCGAAAGTATGGAGTGGAGTTGCCCTTTAACTGAGCGTCTTCTTGAAAGGATTCAAGAAAAGGGGGGTTTCAAAACCGGTGCTTGGGAAAACGGATGTCTCCGCTCAGGCGGTACACGCCAATGTTCTCATATCTATCGGTTGACAAGCTCCACGGAAGAGCAGCGTTAAAAAAAATGAGACGTTTACAATTCTCTGTAATGCGAAAAGAGAACACAGCACTTGACGAGGAGGGGAGGGTTTACATCTCCTTTCCCTCCAATTTAGCAGAAAATGTTAGCTATATTTCCTGCCCAATTTAGTGGGTTAAGTTTCCCTGCTAAATTTGGCGGGGAAATTGACGTCAGGTGACCCAACACAAATTTAGTGGGGAAAATGACGTCGGATGACTAACACCCATGAACAAATTCAGTTTCTCCGCTAGACTTAGCGGGAAAATTGACGTCACGTAACCTCAACACCAATTCAATTTCCCGCTAAATTTAGCGAGGTAGTTACATAGACGGCAACACCGCTAAATGCGGAAACAGGTGCCCAAGAGCCTATAAGAACCACAATAAAATCACTTTTCACTACAGGTAATGTGCATCGAACATTCCACCGGATCTGTCCATAGGGCGGGCTGATAGTGTGGCAGGCGCCACTGAGCAGACGCACCGCAAAAAGGCGTCTGGCGTTTTCAGAAGCTTGTCAACTGACCTAGATGTGAGAATGTTTGTACATGTATTGCTACCATTGCTCAGCGGGACCGGATATTGTTGGAGATCTGTGTTTGCTGAAAAATGTTTTTACAATGTTCACACTTTGGTCAATGCAAGCACATCTTTTTTTTCACCAATATTGACTAATAGCATTGCAGCAATCAATCCAGTTGATACCAAAATGTTATAAGCAATAAAGAAATTAAAACCAGGCTTTTCTGTGAGTGCAGATTTTATATCTTGTTTCATTGTTAAGGGCGGCCGATTTGTTTGCCCCTTTATTCAAGCATGCATTTCATCTCCGAGAAATCATGATCTTCCATTGTGCTGGAAGAGGTCTCGTAGTACAAGTAAAGGACGCTGGTGACATGTATAGGGTAGACATTCATTGCCTCGTTTCCTTACTGTATGCTCGTTTGAAAGTGTCTAGATAGTTATACACAGACATGGGACTTTTTTTTCGAAGGTTGCTCAGGAAAAACTATTTTATGTAAATTTGAATACACAGCACCATTTGTTTTTGACTGAAGCAAGTTCATATAATTTATTTTGATTTATAACATGCTTTTGATAAGATCAACCACAAATTGGTTTCGTAAAAAACGTTATTGCATGGTGTAGCATTGCCACTTTTAAAAGTCGCTCACGAGGTGAGGACACTGGGAGAAACCTCAGTTCCCTGCCTCCAGCATGAGCTTCCTACCTTCGGCAATGCATAGAGGCCGGACATTTGTAAGACACTCCCAGCCATTCGCATTCCGTTAACGACGATATCTAACATATCGCTCGAATTGTGTCTGGGTGTTCAGTAGACCATCACATGTTTTTGTACCAACTTGGAGTGTGCCTCGAGGACCAAATGTAAGACGAGAATGGCAGGGAGGAGCTTCCTACATTTGGCAATGCTTTGGCATCTTGCAAGCCTCAACAATCTACGCAGAGCGAAAGCATGAGAAAAGGCGATAAGTGCTTGCTGGAGGTTGGGCATTAAGAGATGCCCTGCATTTCTCATCTTGTCAGCGACTATTAGCACAGAGATGTTCTGGTGATATTCTTTTTTGTTTGCGACATCACGGGCAGTCTGATACTTCAGCCCCATATTCCAGGTAAGAAAAAGAAAAGCCTTTCATGCAAGGCTTGTCAAAATATTAGGTGCCAGAAAATATCTGCCATCTACTTTCAGTCTTTATTAAGAATCCTATGTTCTGCGGCCGCATTGAAAAGTACTGCAAAGGAGCCCACATACCTGATCTCGCCACACCAGTCTCCCCCTGCACAATAAGTTCTGTCTGCAATGGTCACCTAATGTCAATAGATGCACATTCCAATGCAGCAACTGAAGCTAGCTACAGCCACACTGTCTTCCAAATGCAGTCTGCTACTAATGCAACAGTAGCTTGGGCTACAAGCTAGGCTACCAAACAGGCTGGAGGTCACCCCTCGCTTTGGCCAGGGGGTGACCATGTGGTCAGCTGCTGCAGTTTCCTAAAAGTTTTCATACCTACAGTAAATCAAGCAATAATCAAAAGTTGAAAACTATCTGCTATAAGACAGTGGCATATAACGAAGCCTTAGCAAATAGTTTGAGCATTGAGGAAATATATTTTTCAGAACATTGGTGGTGCAAATTCTCTATTTTGATGAAG